GCCTCTTTGAAGGAAGACCCGTGTTGAGCGCGGCGGGGGAACCGTCAGGCTTTCCCCAGTTGTTGTTGTTTAGTCGTTAAGTCGTGTCCAACTCTTCGTGACCCCATGGACCAGAGCATGCTAGGCCTTCCTGTCTTTCTCTGCCTCCCGGAGTTGGGTCAAATTCATGTTGGTAGCTTCCATGACACTAACTATCTCGTCCTCTGTCGTCCCCTTCTCCTCCTGCCTTCACACTTTCCCAATATCAGGGTCTTTTCCAGGGAGTCTTCTCTTCTCATGAGATGGCCAAAGTATTGGAGCCTCAGCTTCACGATCTGTCCTTCCAGTGAGCACTCCGGGTTGATTTCTTTCAGAATGGATAGGTTTGTTCTCTTTGCAGTCCAGGGGACTCTCAAGAGTCTCTTCCAGCACCACAATTCAACCACAATCCCCGCGGTTACTCCGCTTTTACTCGTGCAGGGAGAGATCAGGGACAAGTTCATCAGAAGTCATTGGGCTTCTTGTAAATCTCAGGGACAAGAAAAGAAGCTCCGCTCTACTATCTTTAGGTGTTTTGTTCAAAATGACAGTTTTAAAAACTTTTATTATATAAAAACAGCAAATGAACTAAATGGACCAAAGTGACAACTTAGAAAGAAGGAAAAAAGAAACACTATTACAACATATAATATAGTAAGAAAGTAAGTCCAGTTGCCATGACTCAACTTCCAGGTAATCTCACCTGGATGAGTGAGAGTCTTCACAGACTATTATAACATACATTTCCCTCCAGAAATATAGTGATTCATCTCCAGTGGGATAACCTTTCCCTTTTCTCAAACACAGATACCAAGAATAAATTCCATAGTTGTTTAAAATCATTTGTATTCAATATTCCTTTTCTTATCTTGATTTCACAGATTAATTTATCATTAATGGCTGTGTTCCACGTTTCTTTCTACCATTCCTCCATATTAAGTGGATTATCAGTCTTTCAATTCTTTGCAAATATTGACTTTGCCAGTTACAGTAATAATAATTAATTCCTTATCTTCTTTTAGTTGATGTTTATTAACCATATTCAACAAAGCATCATTGGAGACATTTTTATATTAATATTCATAATTTCCATAATCTCTTTAACAACCATTGACAACTTCTTTCTCATTTCAAAGGGCCACAACATATGAAAATATATCCCCTTTTCTTTCTTACATCTCCAAGATAAAGATAATATTGGGTGATTTTTTTAAAAAAAACAAATTCAGTTTCACTGAATTTCTCCTTACTACTTCATAACAATTTTCTTTAACCCTTACAGACAGATTTTTCATTATTCTTTTACTCCACATATAACTCCTTTAATGTCTTGAAATACAGTACAGAAATTAAAAACAGAGCAGCGGGAGCAAAACCTATTAAAAAACCTAATTAGGCGATAGTGACGTACTGCTGTCACTTACAGAAAAAAAAATTCAAATGACAATGGCAGCCTGGCTATGAGAGGTAACAAATAAATTCCTTATTAAATATTCCAAACGTTGAAAGGAACCCCTCACAACCTGTTCCAAGGGGGGGCATCTCTACATTTCCCACTCTCAGGGGGTTTCTGTAGGGAGTCCATTCCCAATCCAGCCGCAACTCCCTGCACCAGAGGTGAGGTGCATCCCTGATGTTGTCACCTGTTTGAGAGACCCCAGGAGTAAGCGCTGGACCCACCACAAGGCTCAGGGTGGGCAAGGGTTGGAGGACTGAGGATCTAAGTGGCCATCCTGTCCTTTTACTGACAGAGAATGAGAGGGATCCCAGTGGGGTTCTCTGCCAAAAATGGCTTGGCTTGCCAACAGAGGTGGGGAGGGGGAACATTACTAGTTTTCCTGACTAAAGACAGAGCAAGCAGAAAAACAAGTAATGCCCCCCATCTGTTGGAAGCTAAGCCATATTGGCAGAGAACCCTGCTGGGATCTCTCTTATTCTCTGGGAGTAAAAGGAGAAGATGGTGACTCATGTTTAGGATCCCCAGGCAGCTGGTGGGGGATGTCCCAAAAGGCCACCCAGTGAGGAACTGCTTCCCTTGTAACATCTTCCCTACCTAGGATTGCGAGAAGAGGGGCTTAGAGGAGAGGCTGCCCCTGTGCCTAAATAAGTGGGATGCCTTTTTCTGTAGAGCTACCCAAAGCCAAGACCAGAAGCTATGATCCAATTTCACTGGAAATGAAGGGTTATTTGGGGCCTGGCCCATTCCACCCAAGGGCTGCAGGCACAGCCTTTCCAGCATCCTCACCTTTCTGGTGCAGGAGTTGATCCTAAAGCCTGCAGAGACCCTCACAGGCCCAACAGCTAACCTGCTACTTGGCATCTGTCACCTGGATGCCAAGGTCAGCCATGTACTGACTTCCTCCACAAGCTGGTGGAAATAAAGTGGGTTATTTTAAGCACACGGGAGGTTTATTTTAAATCTCTCATGTCCTGTTGACAAGTCATGTATGACTTTGAGCAGCCCTATGGAAAACTGGGCTCGGACAGGTCCCATCCACCTAGAGCTGGTGCAGCCTTGGGAAAGGAAACTATGCCAATCCTTCGAGTACGTACGTCGAAATCCGGCAGCGAAACTGCAGGGTTGAGCACTGGAGCCATATTCTGCATGGCCCAGACTCTTTCTGTGCCCTTTTCTGAATGAAGCCGCCAAACCTGTAAGTGCTGTAGGAACAAGCGGAATCTCAGAAATATTTCCGTGGACAAACACTTTTATAACAGCATGGCTTTTCCTGCAACACCCTCACATGCCAAACTGAACTGGAAGGGGGAGGCAGACACAAGCTCACAGGTAAGCATCACAATAGCCCATCCTGGGTTGCTTATGGTTACCACATTGTGGTCCCTCTCCAGTGGGGCTCCTCCTCTTTGTGCTTACATTGAAGGAGGAAAACAGGTGGTCACTGGTGGGGTCCTCTTGAAAGAGAACCTGCACATTTCCCCTCGTGCTTTTATACAAGGCCTGCATGAAAACACAGGTGTCTTTGTGAGCTTGCAGGATTTGCTTCTAGATAAAAGTATCTCTATTCAAAGGTGGTGGTGCAGTGGTTGCATTTCCCAGAATCTACCCTTCCCAGACCTATTTTGTATTGGGTTCCTGCTTGACATTGGGTGGAATCACCCATAGATGCCCTGAAGGGTAACCTTCAATGGGAGAGGGATGACAGAGTGCAAACCTTTATTTTCACCTTGATTTCTAGCCACCCAGAGTGGTCGATCAGACCAGATGGGCAGGATACAAATCAAATCAAATCAAATAAATAAATACATTTCTCACTGACATTGGCACTAACCCATTACAGATGATTAAGTGAAAGGGACTGAAGGAGCATTTTCTGCGTTCCTGCTGAAGAACTCAAGGACTGACCTTCCCGTCAGGATCCTGGCTTGGCTCCTCCAGGCTGACCACAGCACAGAGGGCCACTCAAGGAAGCAGGTCCTCAGATCCCTGAAGTTTTTTTTGTTTTTTGTTTGGTTTGGTTTGTTTTTTTTTGCTTCACTTTGCTGTGGAGATGAAAAGGAAAGCATGAGATGATGGGGCAGGGGGAAAGGAGCTTCGAATGGGCTAAAGCTTGACCTACAACTAGCGGGAGGCTGCTTTTCAGCCTAGAGCAGCCCAGGATGGCTTCAGGTCCCATCCCAACCCAAGAAGACTGGGGAGCAGAGGCAAGGGGGGGGATCATGGGCCTGTTTGTGGGGATCCTTTGCAGGTTGTGAGGGAAATGCCCATAAGCCCTGTTCTTCCTGCCACTACTGCTTCTCCCCGCTCCTGGTGCCTGGGTTCCTTAACCCCTTGCACTTCTTTTCCATGCTTTCCTTGCAAACATCAGGATTGCTGCCCTCATCTCTTCATCTCAACCCCCACCCACCTGCTAATCCCAATGACCAGGGAGAGACACAACTTCACCCATCCTATCCCAGCCCCCCACCTGCCAGCCTTCTGTCAGTTTCCCTTCCCTTCTTCAGCTGCATTAGGAGCTCTCCTGGAGCTCCTCCCTCACCAGTAGGCTAAGGGAGCTCAGGTTCAAAGGGTCTAAGCCCTCAGAGTTTCTGGGGAGTGGGACTAACATTTCCTCTGTCTCTCCTCTCCCCTGCCCTTTCTCTTTTCTCCTAAGCTCTCTCCTCCCTCTTCCACTCATAAGCCAGTCAATGACCCCAACTGGATTGAGTGAGTCCAGGGATAAAT